AAGTCAGGTATGCTGATTGAAGAGGGTATTTCATAGGCTACACATGTGCAAGAGTAGGTTGGCCAGTCGGCGGGCCCATCAACAGCATTTTCAGAGCATCTTCTGGGAGAGGCCTCTTCCAGGTTCAGTGAGTGATACAAAGAACACATAAAGAGCCTATGGTTGTACCCAGGAGGCCCCAACAGACTCAGCACCAGCCAGGGTGTGGCCTTGGTCATAGACAGATAGTCTACAAAAGGGGCAAGGAACCCAGAGGGAAGTCCTGGCCTCTGGGAATAGGGAAGGGCAGGGGGTTGTGTGGGGATGAAGATCTGCCAAGAGCTGTGACTGTGAATGGAGTCTAAAGAAAACTTCCCCACTCAGCTGGAAAGAGAAAACGAGACTGTGCCTTTGAAAGTATTTTGTAATCTCAAAAGCTGAATACAAATTTAAGGGACTATTCATTATGGTCCACATTCAAAACCATCAATTTAAAGCTGATGGAAGTTTTGCTAATATTCATCTATAAAGCAACAGGGGTGGAAAGGAGACTTTTTACTACACCCCCCTTTGTACCTTTTGAATCATTCAAGAATAGTTTTAAAAACTTCTTTAAATCTATGCAAACCAATTCTCTCTTACTCATTAACGGTAATGATGGAGAAACAAGCCGAATCACCAGGATTTTTTGACTTATCCAGAAATAAACCATAAAGAGAAGGCAATACTGCAACTCACAGTGACTTCATTCATTCAGAAAGAATGATGCCCACTCGTAGAATAACATTAAGTGATTACATATTGAGTTAAAAGAAAATGAGCCAGAGTGGCTATGGGGGAAAAGGGCATTGCATTAATGTACAGGACTTGGATTCCAGGTGGGCTAAACTTCTGGGTGCCTCAGTTTTTTCATCTGTAAAGTGGGTATAACAAAACCTACCATGAAGAATCATAATGAAACGCAACTGAGATAACCTCTGTGAAGGCAGCTAGCACTTAATGACCTGCAACTCTGTACATGTTTGTTTGTTGAATCTTAGAAATACCAACTTTCACGTGCATCCACTGGAATGCTTTTGACTACAAATAACAGAAAAACTTGACTACAATGTCTGAGGTAAATAGGGCCTATTTTTCTCACTATATAATAAAAAGTCTCTGTAAATAAGCAGTCCAGGGCTAGGATAGAATAGGATAAGTGACCAAAGTCCAGATTTGTCCAGAGCCATGCCTGTTTTAGCATCAAAGGTCCTGCATCTCTAGATACCCCTCAGTCCCAAACGAACCAGGAGGCTGGTCAGCCTAGCAATAACCATCAGTGTCATCAGTGATGCCATCAAGAATCATAATACTTCATCTTTTTCACTTGGCCCTTCTGACTGTTGCTTGTTGCCTCAAGGTTGCAAGATAGCTACCGTGCCTCCACGTGTCATGTCTGCATTCCAGGTAGGAAGAAAAGAGAAGGGCAAAAGGATCAAAGGCTTTCTCTCAGAGAGGTTTGCCTCTTATTCTGGAGAGAAAGCTTTCCTTGAAGACATGCACTTACATCTCGTTGGCCAGAACTGTTTCATATGGCCACCCCTTGCTGTAAGGGCAGCTGGGAAAATTGAGTATGCATTTTGTTTCCAACCCCTCAGTAGAAGAAACCAAGGGGAGAAGGTCGAGAAAGGCTTTTGGGCAGCCGATCCACAGTGTCTGCTACACCCCTTCGCTCTTTATTTCACCCAGCCGATGTCGAGCGCCTGCTGTGCAACAGGCACTGCGCTAAAATCTGCAAAGGGCAGACAGACAATAAAACACGACCCCCTCGCTGAGGAAGCTCATGGTCTGGTACAGGCTATGTCAGAAGGCAGCCACGAGAGAGTGGGAAGTGCTGCGTCGTCATATCTTGCCCAAGATGCAGGTAGGAATGACAGGGTTGGTGGATTAGCCAGGTAACAATGAATACAGTGTGCTTTCCAAGTAAGGATAAACCCAGAGATGTGAGGGCAGGACTTGGCAACAAGAAAGCTCTGGGAAGAAGGGCCAGTGGGTGTGAGAAGAAGGACTGCGTGTGCGGGGGTAAGTACCTCTCATCTCTGAAGACAACCTGCCTCAGGTCTTTGCTATGACATTAGGAAGCCATTCCGAAAACAGCATGTGTCTAGGAGGAGGTCTGAGTGGTCTTTAAGCACACCCAACAAAGAGCTGTACAAATTCCTCATGGAGACACGTCACCTCAAGTAAACGAGATTCAAAATCTACCCTTGAGAAAGAGTAAACCAAATTTATATCCTCTGCCTGAGGATCCTGCTGGGTGCCCACGCCCTCACCTTACTCTTGTTTCCTACTCTTTTGGCCTCAGAAGCCAGCCCCCTCTTCATTTCCCAGCTTCTCAGCTTCCCTCTTCCCCAGCACATTGCTGGATCCTTCTCCAGGCCTGGACCTGGCCAGCCTCTGAACCAGGCAGTGCAGAGGCTGTGGACTCTGTGGCCAATTGGAGCCAGTGCCTGGTGCCAGCGACCTGCCCATGTTCCTGGAGCACAGGAGAGTTCCTGCCTTAATCTGTTCTCAGGCTGAGCCACGGGAGCACACCTTTAACAGTCCTTCACATGCCTTCCATTATCTCACGGAAACATCCAAAAACAGTCCTTCAGGGTGGGGAGAGTTATCCCCAGGTAGCCAGCGAAGAAGTGAGGCCAGGAAGGTTAGGTAAACTGCCCTGGATTACCCAGTCGCTTAGTGATAGAGGTGGGATTCAAATCTCGGTTGGATTCTAAGGCTCCTGCTTTCCCCACCGGCACCATTTCTCTATACATAGCCGAGCTCTCTCCCCAGTCCCCTTTCCCTGCAAGCTTGTCTGTGCCCAGACCCCTGGCCCTGAGGGCATCCTCTGATGGAGGGTCTTGATCACCAGAGTCTGTGATGAAGTTTCATTTATTCCTCCACTCAACAGATATTTGAGTCTCCCCTATACGCAAGGTGTTGTACTGGGCTGTTGTGTTATTTTCTGGTTGCCTGAATCTGCCTATGGCTGGGCCCGCTGACCTCCAAGGATCACTGGCTGCCAGGGCTTGCTCGCTCCTCAGGGCACCATGGCAGAGCTGCCTGTGGCCGACTCAGACCAGCCCCAGTGGCACAGCTGAACCTCTTTCCATTTCCCCTGTGCATTAATGGCCCACTCGTACCTTGCTTGTTTTCCTTTTCTGCCAGATCTGTTTGCAGTCTGGGCCTGGCATGGTCACATCTGAGCCTGTTCCAGTTATGACAACATAGCTAGTCACTGCTGTCACCAAAGTAAGGTGGTCAGAGGATGGGAAGGAAATGAAACAGCTCTTAGATCCATCTGATTCTTGATAAACAATATGGTGAAAGTGGAGATTAAAGAAGAATATATTTTGTCAGGGAGGAGCTGCCAATAATCACACTCTCCCCTGGGTGCGGGAGGCAGGGTGAGGGTTCCTAGGCAGGTGCCACGGAGGTTTAAGAAACGGAGACTTGCAGGGGTAAAATGACCAACCAAGTTCACACACTGTGATTGCGTTTTCTCCTATTTGTAAAAGTAATACATGTTCACTGTGGAAAATTGGAAAATACCAAATAGTATAAAGAAAAAAATAAAAAGACTCTACGATACTATTACCCAGAGATGATAACCACCGTTAACATTCTGTGTTTACCTCTAGATTTTTTTCTATGCACGTATATGGGTTTAGTCTGTACATACTGTTTTGTATTCATCTTTTATCACTTAACATTATTTGATACCATTTCCCCCTTGACACCAAGTGTTTTATAAAAACATCATTTTCTGTGGCTGCATAATATTCCGTTATATGGACATGTCATAATTGGTTCGACCTCCACTCTTGGCTATTTGGGTTGTTCCACCCTTCCATTTTGTCCTGTATAAATAATACTGAGATGAACATCTTTGTACATAAGTATTTGTGCCCATACCTGATTTTTCCGTTGGGCAGAATTCTGAGGGACAAACCACTTTGGCATGGTCTGTCTCTCTGCCCAGAAAGAAGGGACAGCGGGCACTAGTCACGACCAGGCTTCCTGATCAGCGGCTATGGGGCACCCAAAGGGGGGGATGCTGAAGCAGGGGGCATAGGCACCTCAAAGCTTTGCTTCTCTTACTGTTTTTCTTTGAATGACCCCTGCTTTATTACTCAAAACTCTTTAGTTCAGAAATCTGCTGAAATCAGCTCAAGCAAACAACAGAAGTGGAGATAAAAATGTTGGGCAGGAACTTAGCCGGTCCTCAGAGAGGGCCTGGGAAAGAGGAATCCAGACTTCCTCTCCTCTCCCCATCAGTCCCCGTGGGGCAGTGGGCCTTGAACCTGAGAGTGTATCAGAATCACCTGTGGGGCTCATGAAACCACTCATTACTAGGAAGCCCATCCCCCAGTTTCTGACTGAGCAGGTCTGGGGCAGGACGGAGAACTTGCACTTCTTTTGTGTTCCTAGGTGATGCTGATGCTGCTAGTCCAGGGACCATGCTTTGAGAACCTCTGCTAGAGTACAACATGCAGGCTGGGGGCAGGGCAGACACCCTTCAAGACTGCTACCACACCCCAGTTTCTGGGTGAATTCTGTCCTCTCATTGTGATCTTGCCTGGTGGCACCAAAGCAAGGTTGTTACCACCTCTTGTCAGAAAGAGACCTCCCCCAAGAAAGGCCCAAGAAGAAGAGAAAGTCGCTATGGCCTTTCCCTGAGGTTATCTCTCCCTCAGGGCCTTTTCTGAAAATTGACTCAGTCAATTCTCAGAAGTTCTCTCATAGCCAGACTTTCTTCCCTCTGGCTAATACCTGGATGCTGATCTGCGGTTAAGGTGGTCTCTCCCTCTCAAGCCACTCCCTCCAAATGGCTCCTCTGTTCCGGTACGGGACAAGCAGGGGTTGCTAGGGAAGTCCGGGGCTGGAGCCCACCGCAAGGTGTGGCTACAGTGAGGAGGGGCCCAGCCCTGGGTTCTGGGTTGCTTGGAGGCTCACTAGACAGTGACTCCAAGAGGCAGCCCACAGGGGGAACTTACCGTCCACTGTGACGCCATAGAGGAGCTCACGCTCTGGTGAAAACAATGAAGTGACATTCGTGAAAGATCCTGTAAGATTATAAAGGAAGAAGCAACATTGATTGTGCTCCTACTTGTACGGGCACAAAGTGCCTTATGCTGATCATCTAATTTAATCCTCCCTGAAAACCTATGAATGCAGAGATGGGTACCATTATTCCCAAAATACATGTGAAGAAATTGAGGCACAGAGAGCCTAGGTTACTTGCTTAAGCTCTTAAACACTACTCTATAGCTGCTTCTGGGAGAAACCTGAAAACCAAGAAAGAGCAGAGGGGAGGAAACTAACACATACATTCTTTTACTCGATCATTATGTAATACTCTATAAAATTATCCCCCTTTGTAGGTGAGGAGACTGAAGCTTAGTTAAGAAGCTTCCCAAGGTCACATAATTGGTAAGTGGGGAACGGGGCAGGCTTCAGTGGTGGCAACAGAAATAAACAGTCAAGTAAGGGTTCAATGCACAGAGATGGGCAGGCTATAAATGCCTGCATGAACTGACTCTGGGGGATTGCAAATGCATGGCATATCCTTTTAACAGACTCCTAACTGAATAATAAGATACCACATCTGAAAATTCTGACATGTGAAAATGATTACAAAATAAATATGCATTGAAAATGCAGGATATAAAACTATTTACAGAAAAATTCCAATGTACTATATCTTTTTTTCTATATCTATATCAAGACAGATATAACAGCCTGGAAGAAAATACTCCATCTTGTTAAATAGACTTTTCAGGACAGTACGAATATGGATGATTTTTCTTTTCTTATTTTTTTACTTTTTTTTTTCTTTGTTTTACAATGGTCTTCTGTTATTTTCACAGCCATTAAAAGAAATCTTATTTATTTACACAGATGCAAGGGCACAGCTTCTTTCCTGACACCATCACCAGGGAGAGGATGAAAGCCTTATCCCATTCTGACCTTCTTCCTTTCCTACCTTCCTGCTTCACAAGTTGATTTTCCAAGGCTTTCCATTTGTGAGCTCTTGATGTTGAATGCACCTGTGAGTGAGCGTGGGGGGATGGCGTTTAATAGGATCTACTTTGAAGACCTCAGGAAGTGCTCTAATTTAGCCACACCTGGAAGCCCTGGTTTTCTCAGTGCTTTTCCCATCTAACCAGACTGTGGTGTGGTTTCCCCTGAAATCCTCAGCAGACTTCTGAGCACATAACCTTTAAGACTCATCTTGCTGTCTCTACCTCCCTCTGCCTTTAAATCATTGCCTGTGTAAAAAGCAAACCATGAAACTCAAGTTGAAGTTCTATGATCTTTAAAAGCTTTTTAAAATCAAACCAACCTGGAACTTAGTTATGTATAATGATAAAGTTGACTCCATTTATTTTTCTTTTTATGATTTCACTCTCATACATTTCCACTTGTATTTGGAGGAGTTGAACACGTACGTTAAAGTGTTATTTTTTAAATTCTAGTTCTAGGGACTTCCCTGGCAGTCTAGTGGTTAAGACTCTGTGCTTCTACTGCAGGGGGCACAGGTTCAATCCCTGGTCAGGGAACTAAGATCTTGCATGCCATGCACGGCGCAGCCAAAAAAAAAAAAAAAAGAAAAAGAAAAAATTCTAGATCTAAGTAAAAAGGAATCATATATAAAGATTGTCCACCAAAGATTGAAACAAAAAAGTAGCTTCAATTTAAAAACTAGTCCTTCAGTTGACTTAAAAATGAATTTAAACACTTTCCCCCCTAGATTTGAAAAGTACCTCTCCTCCTCTTCTCTGAATAATTTTTTAAAAGGTCTTGGGTTCCATTTTCAAAATAAGTTCTATATTTCTAAGGGTGACACATTCCAAGTAACCAGAAACTGGCCTTGGCTTGGAAAACATCCCAGTTCTCATAAACATGCAATCACTAGTTCCTTTCAGGATGATGAATACTATTGATTGGCTCAGATCAGCTTGTGACCCAGCAGTGGTATTAGACACTGGATATAAAACATCTCCTTATGAATTTTTAATTGGCTTGTGTGTCTGGAGAACTGGGCAGCTGCTTCCCTTCCCTGAGTGCTTACTCTCCCTGCTCGCCCTCCCTCCTCCTCTCTGTGTCCCAGGGCTGATGATGCCACTCTGCAGGGCCGCATTATTGGATCAGAGCGATTAGCTGTACAGCCTGATTTTCTGAGTCAAAATCCGACTTCTTTTTCAGGTGCCACAGGCTTACGAGCAGTCATGTGCTTTTTGTTTTGCGATGGCATCACAGGATTACTAGCAGATGCAGTAAACTGAAGTCATTTCTCATTAACTGTATTCCTCATGATACTAAGAGAATGTGTCACTCCGAACTTGCATCCTCGAGCATTTTTCAGGAGAAAGAGTGCTTTCAGAAGCTCAAAGAAAAGCTGACAAAAGCCAAACTCTTGAGAAGCACTGTGTCAGGCACTTTCCAGTACCTTAGCTCATAATTCTCATAACAACCCCAAAAGAGGAGGAACATTATTCCCCCTTTTACACTGGTAGTAACTGAGTATCTTAGAAATACGGTAATCTCTCAGAATTCACGTGGATTTATCAAGCTCACACTGAAATAGGTGGCAAGGTGAAACCCTGGAACTCCAGACTTGATCAGGTGGCCAGAGCAAACCCAAGAGTCACCTTCTTCTAAGAGAACAAGGAAAGCTTCACTCAAAGCAAACTGTTCCCCTGCCACATCTCCATTGGTTAGATCTGGACAGAGTGAAAGATTCAAGTTCTCATGTCTAGAAATAGGGCTGTAGTCCCATTAACATTTGTATCCAGGTGAAACTGAATTAACGTAAGCTTCAAGCACCAATTGGGAGGAGAAAATAAATAACACAAGGTCAGCAGGTAGTCTGGAACAGGGAGGGGTAAGGTCTCCAGTGGCGACTGGGTAGGGTGGAGGGTGGAAGGCCCTCTCCCTGGTCCTGCTTTCTCTGTAAAGCACGGAGAGAGAGCCTGTGAGAAACCTGTAACACACAGTGAGTGAGAGCTCTGAGTCCCTACACTATGGCTGACTCTTGCCAAATATTTTGTGGTACACTTAACTTAAAAGGAGGAAGAAAAAAATAGAGGAATCAGAAAATGCCCCATTGTAAATGAAAGTGAGAATTCTTCCTGGCTTTAGCCTCTGCTAAGGGAATCTAGATTCTACTCAGGAACAGAGACCACTTTTCACAAAATGTATGGTTTTGGTTCGTCTCATTGACAGCAACCTGCCTACCTGAGCCATGAGCCCATAGCTGCCAGAAACAATGATGCCAAAAGAAATCTTTCTCTCTCTCCAGGGTGTTCATCACCATAGCAAAACTGCACCATTTGCTTCTGAGTCTTGGATACAAAAATTTTTTTCTTGTCTTATCTTTTAATTTTAAAAAATCATTTTATTTTACTTTGTTTTTTTGTTTGTTTGTTTTTATTATTTTGGGTTCTTGTCTTAGATCATTCAGTGACTTGCTGGGTGACCTTGAGTAAATCCCATCTTCTCTGTGGTCCTCTGTGAAGGGGCTCAGTTGGAAGGACCGTGATTGATTAGTTATGTCTGCCACGGGTGCTGCATTAGAAAGTGGTGATATAAGTGTTGCATATTAGCCTTTTCTGAGCTGGGTGATCTTAGGTTCCCAATTCTCTGTTGGGGAGTAGATGGAGATAAGCCTCTGAGGAGCAGTTAGTCATGGCCTGGAGCTCAGTGTAATCCTGAGGTGAGACAAGGCTGTTCTCACAGCCTCAGAAAAGTATGCTCTAACCCATTCCATTTTAGAAAAGCTGAGTGGGTGACTAACCATTATTGCTTCCCTTCTCTCACCTGCCCCCCCCCCGTTATTTCTCTCTCCATAATCCCCTTGGGCATACCCTGGGGGACTCTAGTGTCAATGTAGGCCTGAGGGAGGAGGTTCAGCAGACATCGGGGGAATATGTATTAGTTTTCTATAGCTGTGTAACAACATAACTGCAGACTTAGCAGCATCCAACCACGCATGTATTATCTCACAGTTTCTGTGAGTCATGAGTCAGGGCATGGCTTGACTTGGTTCTCTGCTTATGGTATCACAGGGTACAGCCAAGGTGTCAGCCAGGGCTGGGCTCTCATCTGAAGGTTTGACTGGAGAGGGATCTGCTTCTCCAACCACTCATGTGGTCAAGCCATTCCTTGCAGTTATAGAACTGAGAGCTTTAGTTTCTTTGCGAGCTGTTGGCTCAGGAGGACCCTCAGCTCCTCCTGAGGGTTCACCCACCATTCCTGCAACGTGCCATTCCAGCCAGCAAGGGAGAGACTCCAGCCAGATGGGCTCTACAGTCTTATGTGATACAAATTTGGGGGTAAAACTGAAGACCCAAAACACACATCCACCTAGCTAGTCCCTTCTCCAGAGTTGAGATGATTATGCTGAGATGCCTAAGAAGACTATGTTGTTTTTGCTCCTGGACATTAGGCCTTTTCCTAGATCCACCCCTTGAGTTTATACATTAAAAATCCCATATGACCCCAGAGAAATCCCAAAAGTTAGTTATCTGATCCATACTGAATAGGAATGTCATGCTGTGGATTCTTCAAAACTCATTAACCTGGCACCTTCATGGTTGTGATTGGTTGTGATTGGAATGGTTGTGATTTTCTAGACAGCAGCTGTTAGCACATCCATTTCACAGATATTAAAGACTGATTGGATGACAGGATTCTTTGCCATTCTTCACTGAATATCTCATACTAATTACACAGTTTCCAAGCCTTCAGAACTTTCCTGAAAATTTGTGTTTATTGGTAAACTTTTAATCAAACAAGATGTGCAAAGTACCGCATTAAGCTCAAGGATGTCATTCTGGAATATCACAGGCGAAAGAACTCGCGTGAGTCCTCTAAATTACTGCCTAGACCCACAGTCCTCAGTCTCAGTGGACATCTCTGCTTCTCATTTATCCTGAGGAAATAGGGCCTGTGGTAGAATATTATACAGTCACTTCCTTACAACCATGCTCTCCTGAATTTTGGAAGCCTCGTTTCCCTGTATTTTAGACTTAGTGGAGTAAACAAGCTAATAGTGCCCCTCGAGAGAGTTCACTAGTTAACACCCAGCCCTTAATGTCTTTTATACTTGGAAGGGATCTTAGCAGTCACTTTGCTTAACCCTAATATTAAAAATGAAATGGCTCTTAAGAAAAGCGTCTGATATCAAGTGGTATTAAGAAGGATAAAGTTCAACCAACTTCTTTGAATCACGTGGGTCTTCAAGGAGCACAGTCTTGGTCTCATGACAAAGATGACAAAAGATAACAAGGCATCTGGGGAGGCTGTTGTACCCTCCTTGCAGTTTGTGGGTAAAAGAGTGGGTGGATTCTGATGACTATGGTGAGCTCCTCCTTCTTCCTATTCCAAAAAGGTGAATGGCCAAGCACTGCCTGATCTTGGGAGGGACTTTCACGTGAAAATCATAGATTGTGAACATGTATTTATTTTTTATTTTGGCAGGAAATGATTTTCCTAACCAGTGGTGTGACCATGACAAAGAAGAACAGTTCTGCTTTCAACTCAGAGAAATAGTGGGGGAGAGACAAAAACAAGCAGAAAAGAAACATTTTCTTCAGGCTTTAAGGAGGGGTAGCTATTCACGGTCAATGAGTAGCTTTCAGGATCACCTTTGTAATCTCGTGCGCCTTTAAACCCTCCACATCCACTGCGGTCAGAAGGGGATTTCGCTGGCCCACAGGAAGGCAGTCCTTGTGCTTGTGTTGCCTTCAAGTGGGTCCCACAGGTTGAAAGTTGCCTCCTCCTCCCCCCTCTGACTCATTAAAACCAAATTCAGTTTAGGGACATCTCTCCCTATTCCAGCCCCTCGCTATTCCAGGTTAGAAGCTATTAGTAGACTCATCCCACCATGAAGCAAAGACCATACTCGCCCTCCAGACTCATCCCTTAGCCAGATCCCAGTGCCTGGCACAGAACACGGGGTCAGTGATGTTAAGGAACCAAGCTGATTACTTCTGGCTCTGCTCTTTGTATGGTTCTTTGCTGCTTCATATGTAGTTTCTCTCAACTTGCTGTCCTTATATTTACACTTCTGCGTCTTCTTCCATGGAACCCAGTCCATGCTGCTGCTCCAGGAGGGCAGCAGCAACTATCTGTTGGCAACAGACTATATCACGGGACTTTATAGACAGATAGACGCTAAACAGCACTAGTGTGTAGTTTGAAAATTTGGGCAGGTTATTCACTTAATGGTGGGGCATCTACAAAGAAACTAGTCAAACACCTCTATCTTTTCTCTCTCCTCCCTCCCTTGCCCACCAAATTTCTTGAGAGAGTAATCTTTACTCCCTTTATCTCATACCATGTCCATTCAAATCTGATTTTGTTTCCTACACTCCCTCCACACATATGTAGACGCTGAAATGCTCACACTAACTGCCAGATGTAACAGCTTTTCTTGAATTCTATCCTCACTAATCTTCCTAATGAATTTGATGCAGCTGTGAACTACTCTTGAAAATTTTCTCCCTTTGTGGAGCAACTGGAATACAGTTTGCCACCCAACTCTAACCTACTTCTATCTCCTCAGCTGGCTCCTCTTTTGCCTCATTTAAAACACAGGTATGTCCCAAGATTTGTCAACTCAGTTTCTCTTCCTTTTGTATACCTCCTTTCTGGTGGTCTCAAATACTCCTACTGTTTCAATTAACATCTCTATGAAGATAGTCCCAGATCTTTACCCCTAGTCCAACTTATTTACAGAGTTCTATCTTCATATTTTCAACAACCTCCTGGATTGCATGATCTAGGTAATTCTCCTAGTCTTTCAAATGCATCGGTTTAAAAGTTTACAAATCATCTCCCCCAAACCAGCCCCTTCTCCTAAATTCCCTATTAATATTTGTGAAAGAAAACATGCCACTAACATTGAAATAAGTTCAAAACTGAATACTTCTGCACTCCTCCATCTCTCTCAATCCCATACCTAATGAAGTGACATTCATTAAGGACACACCTCTAATGAGGCAACATCTCTAAGGAGGTGGCATTCATTGAATGCCAGACTCTGGGGGGTGTAGTGTGGAAAAAATAAAGAAGAGAGAGAATGAGAGCGAGGGAGAGAGAGAGGTAATTGGTCTTACCCCTGAGAACTTACAAAGGGAGGACAGAAAAGCATTCATTTGATGAATTTTTACTGAATACGTATTAAAAGCCAGGCACTGTTCTGGGTGCCAAAGTCCTTCAGTATCACCTCTGCAGTGTCTCTCAGGTCTACTCCAGACTAATTCAGGTCTGGTTAGAACTTCCAGATCAATACTTTTCAAATGGGAAAAATGGGCTTCTTGCCTTTAGTATTGTATTTTTTTCTACTGGTAATTATCATGTTAGCTGTTAGTTTAAAGTAGATAATTTAAAGAAGTATTTGTCTATCCTAAATCATGTCTGAACTCTTCCTTTATACGTTAAAATTTTATTTGTTCTTTTATCTTTCCAAAGCTTCCTAACAGACCCTCCATCCTCTGTCTCTTCATGCTTCAATTCAACCCATATGCTGCCATCAGACAAATATTCCTATAACTGAGCTGTAAGGTTGCTTCCTTATTTGGAAATGTTTGAAGGCTCAAAAATTATAATCTAAACTCTGCAATTCGGAATGCAAGACCCCCATCCTGAGACCTGAACTCCAATCTCTCCTTCTGGTCTTACCTGCCAGTCCCCTATCCTGTCTGCCTGTGCTCCAGCCAAACAGGAGTACTCAGTGTTCACAAACATGTCCTATACTTTCTCTTCTTACCCAAAGTCATGCCCTCCACTTGGAATGCCATCTGGTCTATCTCTATTCACGGAAAGCCTTCCTTCCTCTTTCAAGGTTCAGCTTAATTGCTTTATTGTTATAAAGGTTTCTGCCTTATTCCCCCTAATGGCTTGCACAGATGGCAATGATTGAGTTCTAATCATAATTATGGTAAGTCCACCCACTGTTCCACATACAACTTGCAAAGGGACCTTCTCATTAGATGCTGAATAAGTACTTACTAAATAAATGTTACCAGAAGAAATTTTCTAGTAGTTTCACATGTGTACATTATTTCTTCCCAACATGATTATAAAGTCTTCAAGAACACGGACCATGTTTTCTTCCTTTACCTTTATTTTCTACATAGTTCTTGGTACAGAGCTATAAATAGAGTAGAAGTATAAATGTTAGCAGAATGAACAAGTGATAAGTTATGCTTTTTCATAGGAAACACAATATTGTATTAAAGTCCACAGTCATATATTCTGCAGTCTAAGATTAATGCCATGTTTGGACACTACAAAAAGAAAAAAACTGTAGCTAGTCTAGTAATATCTATAACATTCTTTAGCTATTTTTTTCCTTCATGTTTCCTAAATAACTATTTCTGCTTATAATTTCTTAACTGTATCTCACTGAACTCCATTATTAGTCCTTTTAAAAAATTATCTTAAGCTTTCCTGGTAGATAATTGTTATCTATAAAGATAATTTTGTCTCTACTTTAAAATAGTTATATCATTTATTTCTTTTTCTTACCTTTCTAACTGATTGGAACTTCTATATCAATATTTTACAAATGAAAAAGAATGAGCCTTTTGCTTTCAGTGGGTTTTTTTCTACAAATAATATTCAGGTAAGCTGTTGATTTAAATTAGATATTTTTATTTTAAGAAGTCTTGGGACTTTCCTGATAGTCCAGTGGTTAGGACTCCATGCTTCCACTGCAGGAGGCATGGGTTCCATCCCTAGTCAGGGAACTAAGATCCCGCAAGCTGCGAAAAAAAAAAAAAAAGAAGTCTTTATCTATCCTAAATCACAGTATCTAACCTTTCCTTTTTATATTAAAGTTTTATTTGTGGTCTTATCTAATTGCTCTCTCAGACTAAGCGACATAATTTCAGTGAAGTGGAGATGTGACAACTGTTTAGTGATATGACCAATCACAGACAGCCATGCCAGACAACTGACATCATCAGTCATTTGGCCTATATTTACTGATAAAATTATCAAGAGAACCGAGGAACGTGCTTTAGCCTTTGTGCCATTTAGTCATGAACTCTCCAGGATAAAGGTCACAAAATATGAAAAAGCTGGTGAATTCTTCTATCCTTTTGTTCATTTATTCAACAAATATTTATTGAGTGCTGCTATGTGCCAGACACTATTCCAGGGCTGAGCTATAAGAACAAACAAGACAAACTCCCTATTCTAACAGGGCTTTCATTCTAGAGAAGGTAAACTGTAAGCTAACAAATAAGTGAGCAAGATCTTTTCAGACATTCATAAGAGCTGTAAAGATAATAACATAAGGCAATGCACTAGAGAGTGACTGATAGGGATGGGTTATTTCAGCCAAGGTGGTCAGGGAAGGCTTCTCCAATGAATTATTTTGAACAGAGATTTAAGGAACCAGCTATGTAAAGATGATAGGGAGAGCACTGCAGGCAGAGGAAACAGTGAATGCAAAGGCTCCAAGGTGAGAAGGATCTTGGCATTTTACAAGAACAAAGAGAAGGCTGAGCAGCAGTGAATGGAAGAAGAACTATAGGATATGTTTGGAGTGGTAGGAAAACCAGATGATGGTGAAGAAACACGGAAATCATTTTTAAGGACAAGGATAATAATACACTTGCTAAAATGAAACATTTAGAAGATTTACAGGGAACTCCCTGGTGGCGCAGTGGTTAAGAATCCGCCTGCCAATGCAGGGGACACGGGTTCGAGCCCTGCTCCGGGAAGATTCCACATGCCACGGAGCAACTAAGCCCCTGCGCCACAACTACTGAGCCTGTGCTCTAGAGCGCATGAGCCACAACTACTGAGCCCACGTGCCACAACTACTGAAGCCTGCGTGCCTAGAGCCCGTGCTCCGCAACAAGAGAAGCCACCGCAACGAGAAGCCCACACACTGCAGCGAAGAGTAGCCCCCGCTCGCCACCAACTAGAGAAGCCCGCGCACAGCAATGAAGACCCAATGTAGCCAAAAATAAATAAATAAATAAAAATTTATAAATAAAAAAGATTTACAATGCAAATTATAAACACTTATACAACTAACTCAAATCTCAAATAGGAAATAAGCCTAAATAAGGCAAACAAGCTCTCTACCACATTCTGTTCCTCATCAACATTCTCATTTACTTGTGTTTTCTCAACTCTGAATGGCAACAAAGATCTTGGAACGATAAACACGTAGTCCTCGGAACAAAATTTTCTTACGCAACAGATTATGAGCCAAGATCTTTTTGGCAGTTTAAGGAGTCCAGAGAGACACATCATCCCAACCAATTAGCCATGGGCTCTCCAAAGCTGAGGAATCACATCATCCATACTAGATTCAACCTTCATAGTAAGTTAAACAAAACCACGCGACTTAGTTCCTTTCTTTGTACTCTTATTTGAAGAGGAAAAACCAGCAAATGAAACACTTTCTGTACCCACTAAAGTTATCCAAAAATAATGTAACAAATGGGTCTGGGTGACTCAGGGGGATCATTCTCCATGTGTCTTGATTTAGATTATGGGGCTATTTTTGATTTGTCATAACTGGCTGGCTCTTGTGGTCTCAGACCAGGGCCAGTACACTGGTCAAAGCAGTGCTTTGTCATAGCACAGAAGCTTGTGGCAAAAAGTCTGGTAACTTTCTGTCCCCTTGTGAAAGAACTTTGAATCCTAGTTGTGGCTAGATCCTGCTGCAATGGCCTCCAAAGAGCCACTCAAGTCTTTGTTATACTGGAGTTTTAAAATTTCATACAGAATACAGCAGAAACTAACACAATGTAAAGCAATTATACTCCAATAAAGATGTTTAAAAAAAAAAAGAAAAAAAAATGTCATATAGAGATCATGTTTTTGGAAACACCAGCTCAGCAGTGAGATCTTTTGGGTCGTAATGGTTTCATGGTGATTAGAATCAGAAAGCAGCAGGGGCAGGCCCCTCTATGCAAACGCCGCAGTAGGTCATCTCTCCTTAGCACAGGGTTTGGAACAGCGTGACCCCTCAATAAATGTCCTCTGGTTATGTTTGTATTTTACACTTATTTGGCCCCCAAATGATTCTTTGGAAGTCTCTGGAGCAGCTCTCAGAGACCAGTCCACGGAATTAGGCCAGTTCATTTTCATTGGTCTCCAACAAAATGAGAAAAAGATTTAGGGTTATCACTTATCATTTCTTGTTAATTGCCTTTACTCTGATGTTTTTGTCCTACCTACCTGGTTTTTCTTAAAGTTCACATTTTTTCTATTAGTAAAGAATGTTAGTATATGGTAGTAGTTGCTGTTTTAAATGTCCTTACTTGGCAAATTAGATGGTGGCATCTCGATGCCCATCCCCCCAATTGTTTGAAAATTTACTGAGCCCTGAACCCTAAATCCGGGAACCCCTAGTCTGGATGTTTACTGCCTCTAGTTGTCTGGACTTTCTGGTTTCTACTATGGTATTTGGGATGGATAAATGTTCACTCTGTAGACTCTTCACCAATTTATATCCTTCTTCTATGTAATGTCTTATAAGTGAAAGCTGGAGACCTTCAAGGCAGGGAAGGTGTAAGGAAAAAGGAATAAAATTAGCTATTAATATCACTAGTATTTATATTAGTATTATGGAGGGGCAGAAAATAAGGCCAAATATATAAAACATATACACTTCTAGTGTGATAGGTATGGAAGATCAGGAGGTTTTTTTAAATAAGTATCAACTTGTGAAAAATTTGTAATAATATTTTTTGTTATAATATTTAATAATTACCTATTAAATGCTTCTGTACCTTCAATGTTGGCTGTCCTTAGTTTGCAAATATAGATTTTTCTATAATTAAACCAGTCTAAATCATTGTTGAGATTATGCTTCATGATATTGCTTATAAATAAGAATGTAAAATAACTAAATAGCTATTTTTATCCTAGCAGGACATCCTAGCTAGAGTACAGGACTCTGAGATGCAAGTCTTGTATTCAGCTAAGTCACTGATTTACTGTATCACATTGGTAATATTGCTTAAGCTGCTTCTGTTCCATTTTTATAAATTTGAGTTAGTAAAATTTGTCACTAATGGCTCATTGTCAAGGGTGTTGATGAAAACACAGTATTACAAATGATGGCCTTATCTAGTGGGATGGTAATTACCTGTGTATTTCAAGGTCATATAACTACCATACTACTATCTGTAATAAATAATAGCATAAGGAAAGAATAAAAAATTGGAGTAATAAGTTTGTAATGACATTAATAACAGCTACCACATAGCCAGCATTTATTAGGAACCAGTATTATGCTTAGTACCTTATGAACATTCTCTGATTTGATCTTTCAGGAACCACTGTTACTACCTTCAACTTACAATTCCAGAAACTGGGGCTTTGGGAGATAATTCCCTGTAACAAATGCCAGGCTGGGAGGCCTCTTGGGAGCCAGGCGGCCTGCCAGTTTCCATGGAGCAGTACTGACTCCCTCAGAATCTCTGTGTTGACTAGGCTAGTAAGTGTGCACTTCCCCCTCCAGCACCAAATAAGGCAATATTTTCCTTTTTATTCCTCTAGTTCCTTATATAAAGAATTCTTAATTTCCCTTTATCTTTTGTCATTTGACTTTCATTTCCTGTTTGGGGGTTTCTGCTTTTATCACTCTGAGCCTTCAGTACTGCTCTGCCTCATTCCTCTTCTTGGTGGATTTGACCTAAGTTCCAGTTTTTGTGCCTTTTCCTTCTGTTTCAGTTCCTTACACAGTCTGTGTTTAGCAAATGAAGTTACCTTTTATGGTTTCCAACTCTTTTTTTCACTGAAAGTTTTATAGTTTTCCTATATTTTTTGATATGCATGTATTTATCTTAAAGGGATTTTTCCCTTGGAGCCTTCTTACTACATCATAATATAGCTCATCCCTTTGAAAGACAGCTTTATTCATTGACAAATTCTTCTGGAAATACCCCTTGGGCTAGGTTTGATGGAAGCCATTTTTAGGCACAAATTGTAGCATATTCTTTGTTGTAGGCCTGCCCCTTACATTTGCAGGGCCCAAAAGTACAAATGGAGGACCATGTGCCATATGTATAAATATGTAAAAGTTATATAAATTTAAAAACTGTTAACTAAAGCATGTTCTATATTTTTACCTTGACAAATACACCTTCATAACACCCATTATGGACTGAATCGTGCCCC